CGCAGACCCAGACGATGTCTGTATCCTTCACTCGCCACCCTCTTGCCCTCTCACCCCTAGTAAAGTCACGGTACCTGTTGATAGTTCTATGCATCGTGCTAGAATTCTCTCCATTTCCGAGTCCGACTACGGCACCGAAATCTGGTAAATTTTTCGGAACTCTTAAAATTAATTTGTTATCTTTCTTCGAAATAGGTCTCTAATGTATTCCTTGTTACCGACTGATATTAAGATCACAATATTACGCTTAATTACTGACTCGAAATGTTTAGGGAATGAATTAGTTTTTTTATTTTTATTAATTCATGTCTTTTTAAAGGTAGTATTAGAAATTAGTTTTAATTACTAAAAGGAACTAATCCGTCCAATGTACAATCAGTACTAAATATTAAATCGGTCTTCCCTGAATACTTATTAAATTGTGAATTCTGTGATAGTTTTTATTGTAATGTAGGTGAATGTGAATTTTAATGGTATATTTTATGAATTTTAAATTCTGTATCTACATTGATGTATCAGTATTTTATTTTTACATTAATATAATGTTTTATTAAGTGTTAAATAATGCATGGTGGCTTCTTTCACCGCAGTGTGCACAGCTTACGAGTGTTTCATTTTCTTCGTATGTAAGTGCATGGTGTGTTATTCTGTGTTCTTGTGTTATATGTAAATAATATTATTATAGATTTATTGTGAATTAACGCACTTATTTCATTTTATGTCACACCTTCAGCTATCACCCTCACTCTACTCATTAGGTATAGCACTGGGCTATGAAACCTCAACAAGTTCTGTTTATATGACCGCAGCGATTGCAATTTGAGTTTCTTTTTGTTACATTTGATAATAATAATACTTTGCAAAACAAGGTACTATAAAGAGAACTTGCTCTACGAAATAAACATTAAAAAAATAAATGTTGTAAATAATCCACTGAATCTTTTTTCACATTACACCTATGGGTAACTACTTGAACAATACTAAATCTGAGGTTCAGAATAACATGACTAATTTGTGGGTTACATGTGACCACGAAGAGTAAGGTATTGTTAAAATGTTTAACAATGTTCGGAGATTAAAACATAGGTGTTCAGTTACCTTGCACTCATCTTACATCGCTTTGCACAGTGAAGGAGATTGCTTCCAATGTTTCGTCTTTAACGACACCTTAAAAGGTAATGTTTTGTGTTGCTTATTTGGCATGATGCATGGGAACTCAATTACTAACACAACTAAAACAATAAAACAAAGCACTTAGAGGCCCACACTAAACCTTTCTAATAAAATTAATACACTAAAATGAATTAATATAAATGATAGATGTTATATTATTATACTTAAATAAATGATATTAATATAATTAGGTTTAAGAATAAAATACCATGCACTTTGTAAACAGGTTTTCATTTAATTTCACTATGGAATTATATGATTACATATCTAAATTATATGTGAATGTCAAAATGTATTATTGTGCAACTTTCGGGCTACGTATTTATGTATCAACCTATTTGTTCAATGTATATAATTTTTGTGTTTTTATAGCCTTAGTTTTGCTTTTGGTAATGGAACTATATTTGATCGTTATACATATACAAACATATTATATTATTGTTATTGGATCGTAATCAAGTTGTGTGTAGCTAAAATATTTTGTACGATATTATTTTTATATACTTACTACTTAAAATCTTTTCTGTAAATAAGCATGTAGAATGTACAGTGTGAATATTTTTGTTATATTTGAGGTGTAGGTCACTGTAGGCATGTTTACTTATACAGGATGAATAATTTGAACCAAGGATACTAACAGACACTTTACCTAAGTACGTTTACTTATAATTTTGCTATTCTGTACAAAAATTTTACAAAACCTGTTCAATCTTTTAGGTTCCTGTTGAAATGAAGGCTAACAAAGATAAAAATGGTTACCTACATTTAGGAATTGTTCAGTAGGCACAAGAACAGACAAAAAATGTTTCGAATGCTTTGATTTGATGTCAATAAAAAATCCTTCGTTACCTTGGTTTCACAATAATCGTCCTGTATAAAATTATGTTTATAGATTCGAAACTATATACTTATAAAAGATATTTATTCTCTGCTATATAAGTAAATGGGATTAGGAATATCTATTACACTATATTTATATGCCAAATCGTAGGAAAGTACGCAGGTAGACGGAAAAACAGTACCTATATCAATTACTGAAAGGATTACTGACATACTTGTAACAATTACTTGAAACTTTTGTTTTAATAAAATGTATTATATTTTCAGACTATCGACATTCCAGTGCTGACAAGCCCTACTTGAACATACCGCCAAGTGTAATCCAAGACAAGGGACCAACAGTAGACTTGAATGCGATTAATCCCACCTTACATCGATACCATACTGCTCATCTCCGCGGCAGGCACGGTGTCGTCGACTATGATAATTCAAATGCAGCTCAAAGAGACCAACCGAAATTCTGGACGCTTCCTAAACGAAGCAACTTAGAATCCAATGCGCCTCAAAGATCTGCGTCTAGTTACGGAATGAAAACTGCAGCAGCCAACATACCAGCACCAGAAAAAAGAGCACAGGGCTCCACTAACACGAATGATGAATCTATCAAAATATCTCCAATAGATCCAAGAACTTCAGGACACTTCAAGTCATCGACTCCATCTAATAAAGAAAATGTTGTTGATCTTGGTACAAAGTTATTATCCCCTGTCAAGTCTACAATGACTAACGAAGAACTTTATGCTGTTATCCATAAAAGTAAAAAGAAGCTAAACATTAAAGATACTACCGAAAGATCAGAATCGCCTGCATTGTCCACTATTAGTTTATCACCAGTTAATTCGGAGACGTCACTTTATACAAAGGGTTCACAGCGTCATCCAGAAACAGGTTACTTAGGAGACCCAAGAAATAGAATGAGCTGGTCTCCCTCTGAAAAACAGAATATATTTCCGACTGCAAGTCCTATCTATGGAGCACAAAAGCAAGAAACCAATTGCGCAGACAGATATGGACCTATGTCTCAAACCTCCAGGCTTGATTTTAAAAAGCTTTTATTGCAACACAGTGTTAAACTAAATACGTTGCCGCAGAACAAAACCAATAAGTTATCAGCAGTTGAGCAATTAAAATTATCGAGAGAAAAACCACAAACATTACCTTCTCAAGTTGCTAATAGATCGCAAGTAAATATTCTGGATTTAAGTGGATCTCCTAAAACGTATACTCATAGAAAAGTTATGAAACCAAACGTTCAGCCTAGTTCACCAGGAAGAACAGGATCTTTAATCAAAGAACATAAAAATACGCCTAAAATTCTACTATCTCCTAAATCACAATGGCGATTTGCCAGTCCAAGATCAGATGTTTTGTCAACCCCTATACCCGAAGCTTACAATGAAGATGACAATTCAAATAGCTCGGGAGAAAAGCATGAAATTTTAGTGGAAACTCCACCATCAAAAACAGTTCCTATTATCACCAATCAACATTTTGGAGCGCGACGAAACTTAATTCCTATAAATGAAACCACTCTAGAAATGGAGAGAAATTTCCCTCCATCAACAGATCAAGGCGTGTATCCTCTGAACACTGACTTCATAAGGTCACAAGGTCTGTCAAGAACAGAAATACTGCAAGCAAAGAGAGCAGAGTTTTTCAATACGTGCCCTGAGTCATCTCCACCTAAATTAACCTCCTTCAAGAGTCCAAATGCGGCTGGTCCGTCTGTAAACTCTAGAAGCAAAACTTCTCCGGAGCGAGGCAAGGTATCGCCTACTACTCTGGAAACTGCATTATGATAAAGCTGATATTGATGTGTCAAAGCGGTGCTTTAGAAATTCCAATCTCAAAGTTTGTAAATAAGGCAATGAAATTCATAGAAGCTTTAATCTAGTCTTTTCTTTCGCTTACAGTGCCATTTTTGCAGGCACTTATTTTCCATAACCAGTATTTTAATACTTCATAATTCGAGCTCAAATTATTTTTATTTTAACGCTCTATGGGGCCAATTATGTTCAGTGTAATATTTTCTACTCTACAACAGCTGTTTTATAAAACTTAGGATGTAAGTATTTATTGAGTACATTTTGATAGGTACTATGTTAGCAATGTTTTGAACTTTTTCAAAGTTTTTAAGTTATTCGGAATACAATTTTAAATAAAACGTGTTGAATTATACTGTCGTGTATTTTTGTCCCCTTTACCTATTGCAGGAAATCGGTGAGTAGTACCAGCAGCAATTAATTAAATAGCTATATCTATATTCCATATATATATATTCCAAAGGTGGGTGTAAAAATCGAAAAAAGAATAAATAAATAGTTCAAAACCGTTTTTTTTGTTGCCATGGTATCATTCTGGTAGCAGTATTCTAGCATTTCCCTTCTACAAGTGAATAATTAATTCTCAGAGCATGAAAAGGAGACACATTGATATTGTCCTATAAAAGAAATGGCAAAATTGTATTATAAATCCATAAGTAAATTTTTTTATGGCATAAGCCGGTAAACGAGCGTACGGATCACCTGATGGTAAGCAATCGGCGTCGCCCATTGACACCTGGAACACCAGAGGCGTTACAAGTGCGTTACTGGCTTTTTGGGGATTAGCTTAGATTTGCTGATAGTTGGAGATTCAGGAATTGGGGAGATTGGGGAAGGGGAGGGCACTCCGGTAACCTCACTCACACAACGAAACACAACGCGTTGCTTCACGTCGGTTTTCTGTGAGGCCGTGGTATCACTCTGGTCAAGCCGGCCCATTCGTGCCGAAGCATGGCTCTCCCACACACAAGTTCATGTATCACAACAACATATTACTATTGTACTCTGAACTCTCTTTGCTGTTATGTTAGATGTTCCAATATAATAGTGCTATTGTGAGCACCCAATTATTTGGCTTGACTGCTGAGGGAAAAGGAATCTGCAGTTAGCATTGGGCAACATTAACAGTTATTAATGTATTAGGTAATTAGTAAAACAAATAGAAAGTGACTTAATTATATCTTTATTTTACAATAAAAATTACAAAAATGCCACAAGGTTACCTAAACATCAGTTTAGTTCATATACCCTAAAATGATACAAATAGATAATTTCTACTCGCAATTTCTTTTCAACACAATACAGTTTGAGATTACTTGTTACTATTGTATCAAAAAATTATGTGGTCAATTTAACAATAGGTTGAAGTTATACATGGAATATAATTATTACTTTAACCCTTTAACCGCCAAGATTCTGAACTTTCAACTTACCTCCAGCGCCACGTCACTTTAGGTATAAGTTGGAACAGTGTTGGAAACACTTAATATCGATGCATATATTCTTTAATCATTAAAAAATTAAAATCAACGTTTTATTTACCTACTTAATAAATAATCTAAAAATTTTCAATCTTCAAACGAAGTATACGAAAATGTGTATTCGGGAAATGGGCACGGCGTCGTCCGTTCTCCTGCTGGCGACGGTGACGATGCTCCACGAGCATGTCGTATTTAATTTAATATTTTCATGTAAACTTCTGAGCGGATTTCCGACAGTACGGTTTCCAGCTCAAAAGGTTTTAAAGATGCAAAGTATTCATTTCGTGGATCACTTGGTCTCTGATCAAAAACTTTGCGTCACCATCTTCTAACTTTGCATAATGGACACATTTGGTTTTGACTGTGTTGATTTATTTGAGAAATAACAAAAACCCAAAAAAGGGTTTACAACACTAGTTGCATTGAGTGATAAATGTTTAACGTGATTTTACGGTGACGGCGCTAAGGCAACTCACAATACAGCGCTTTAATCTCCTTGGCCGCACGTAATATTACGGTGATGGCGACCGGCGATTGTCCGCACTAGTGCGGTTCTGCGTTATGAAATTTTTATATTATTGTTATAAATATTAAATAATTTTAAACTTAAATACATTTTAATTAGTACAAATACTTGCATCAAAGTAACACTATGGTTATTTTCTAATGAAAGTATACACTATCATTGCAAATAGTGACAGTAATATCTATAGTGTCTTGTTTGTTCTTAGACAACCTATTAAGTATTTTTCGAATTCGCCCCATCCCTAGTACTCGTAAAATTACGTGATTGGCGATACGGGTAATGGAGACGGTGACCACAATTTAATTAAACCTCAAATTTCACAGTATTTATCACTCAAAACATTGAGAAATATCCATAACAATAAAGATTATACCCTACATCTTGAAATTGACACATTTTATATGGAGTTTGTGCTCTATAAGAAGATTTTTAATAAAATAACGTGATTGTACGTATGTGGCGATTCGGACACAGCTTTCGAAAACCGTAATATTACGTTGTCGGCGGTTAAAGGGTTAAACAGTTCACTTGTAATACTCCAAACAGATTTGCATGTCTTTAACCTCTCGAGTGTTGATAAATGAGGCACAATAGAAAAAAATTGTGTCTCCTGTAGGTCTATGTTCTGGCATAACATACCACGGGTTAATACAAGTCTCAAGTATTTTGTCTCATCTAGGAAATGAACACAGTGTTTAACAATAGCTAAACTTATGGGGCAGTCTGATACATAAAATATTAATTGCCAATGTGCAAATAATTTCATAAATTTCCATACCTACTTTTATCAAAGGCAATCAAAACAATAAAAAGTTGTAACTGCTGTAGCTTCTGTATGACAATATACACGACAAGGGAACCAACAAAATACCATTTACAGAAATGGTATTTTCTTGAAAATAAAGAAAATACCATTTTTAGATAAACCGTTTTTAGAAATGGTATTTTTTGGTCATATTACAAACTATTTGATAAAAACAAAAGTAATTTAGAAAGCAGCTATTTCAGTTGAGATACCGAATACAGACAATAGGTACAATAATTCGTGTACATAATATAAGCGGATATAAATAAACTTTTATAACCTCAAACTTATCTGTAAAACACTGGTGTAACACTGTGGCCTCTAATATATTATTCCCAGTCTTTCTCAAATACTATTAACTGACACTATTTGTTCATAGGTGGTCCATTCATTAGAGGTGGTCGCATTTGACCCATAGGTCCCATGGGACCCATCGGCCCCATTATCGGCCCCATCATTGGTGGTCTCATGCCCATCATAGGTGGCATAGGCCCGTGTGGTCCCATCATCATCGGCGGCGCCATGGGGCCTCCAGGTCCCATCGATGGAGGAGGCAGCATCCCTGGTGGACCTCCCGGTGCTGGCACTGGAGGTCTAGGGCCACCTGGACCCATTACACTGGGATCCCAAGGGGGTGGAATAGCAGCTCCTTTATTAAATGGATTCTGTGCTATCTTACCAGCTTTGAATGCCGCTGTTGTAGCATCAATGAGATGTTGAGCTTGTTCTTCCATCCATTTTTGGTAGTAAAATTTAACATTATCCTTATGTTTCCTTCCCGTGCAATGTGTTTTTCTGACACTCGGTGAATCGTGAGTTAAATATGTGTCACAATAATCACAATAATATTTAGGCATCTTTATAAATTGTAATTGCTACTATGCTACTCTACACGCGCACTATTTACTGATGAATGATGATCACACTATCACAGCAAAACTGTAAATGCAAAGCAAAATACGAGTCTGACAAGTGACAACGAATAATAACACGCCATGAATGAAATGAATGAAGAATGAATGAGTAAAATTAGTGATTTGGTGATACCAGTTTTCAAATTCGGTCTTTCATTTTATGAACCAAAGACAAGGAAATATATAGTTTAGTCGATTATTTTACATTTATGATAGTTTTTGTATAAGATATCCAAACGTATATCTATCTATCTACATCTCTAGTTAGGTAGTTATTGGAAAAATTGCAAATGGCGCGCTGCGTTTGTGATCGAAGCACGTGTGATTGACGTTTCAAAAAAATTGGTCTAACGTGTTTAATTAAATGCATTAAATAATACTGAATGTGCAGAAAGTAAATTGTCAGAACAAATATACTTAAAAACGACACGATGCCGGATATGAAATATATTTTGGTTACCGGTGGAGTAATAAGTGGTGTTGGAAAAGGTGTGATTGCAAGTTCTTTTGGCACAATTTTGAAAAGCTGTGGTATCGATGTGACTTCAATAAAAATTGATCCGTACATTAATATCGATGCAGGAACGTTCTCTCCATACGAGCACGGTGAGTGGAACAGCTGATAAAGCGTATTAACCTTAATTTATTGTTTTTTGTCCGCGTGTTGCATTAATTGCATGATCTATTTTTATTCTCTAGGTGAAGTTTACGTGCTCGATGACGGTGGTGAAGTTGACCTTGATCTTGGCAACTATGAGCGCTTCTTAGATATAACACTACATAGAGACAATAATATAACAACTGGCAAAATATACCAGCAGGTTATTGAGCGTGAAAGACGAGGAGACTATCTTGGGAAAACTGTTCAGGGTAATTATAGTACATCTATAACTCAATTCAAGCAAAAAAAAAACATAATATTATAACACTGTCTAGATGTAATTTCCTAAAAGTATACACTGTTTTACATCAAAAAATTAATGAAATGTGATAATTTCTAAAACCTGTAAATACATACCATAATTCATAATGAACACTATAATATTATGTTTTTTTATTAAGTATACAAATCTTAATCATCACTATGCAGACCATAATAATATCATTTTTAAGCACCACCTTTATGTATAATATTTTTTTAGTAATTCCACACATTACCGATGCAATTCAAGAATGGGTGCAAAGAGTAGCCCATATACCAGTGACACCAGACAATGCTCCACCTAGGGTCTGTATAGTGGAACTTGGTGGGACTATAGGAGATATTGAAGGAATGTCATTTGTTGAAGCATTCAGACAATTCCAGTTCAGAGTGAAGAGAGAGAACTTCTGTTGTGCCCATGTATCTTTGATTCCCATGGTAAGGACTTGTATATTTTTATTATGCTTATTTATTACTTTAGTTACCTACATTCTAGAAAGAAAGGAAGGTAGAATTAGTTACATTTATTTTACATACCAAACAGCACAGCACAAAGCAATATGCACGAGTATTGTTACATATGTATTTGCAGTAGGTATACAGAGTTGTGGTATTGGTGCCTATCTCAAGACTGTGCCGAAATGGGCAACATTTGAATAATATTATCTAGTGTTCTATTACTCTTTCTATTTTTATTCTAAGAACCTCTAATTGGTATCATTGTTATATGTATAGCTGTTGGTTCCTCTTAACTGTTAAATAAATAAATAATTAGTGCGAAATTGAATTATCCAATTGATAACAATATTTTCAAGTGGAAAATATTTTCTAGTTATAAAACATTTCAACAGAATAACATTTACTGTAATAGTGTTTTGAAACAACTGTAATAAATTAATATATTTTCCTAACATTTTTAGCCAAAATCAACAGGAGAACCTAAGACAAAACCAACACAATCTTCAGTCAGAGAATTACGTGGTTTGGGCTTGTCACCAGACTTGATACTGTGCAGATCAGAGAAACCTATCAACCAAGGAGTTAAAGAGAAAATATCCAATTTCTGTCATGTAGGACCAGAACAGGTAAGGTTCGAAAAGTATTTTGTATTACTTATATCTTATTTAAAATTGTTTTAAAAATACTTTTCAATAAACTTCCTATCCGTCTTTTACCTGTTTAAACATTTTCTTTTGCTGAAAACTAATTGTGGAATAAAATTATCAGAACAAAAATTCAAATTCTTTAACAGCTGATGGAAAAGTATTTTAGAAAAACAGTTTTAAATGTATATTAAATTAATTTATGTACATTGTACGGTTATACCGTGTATTGCGCGTTAGGTATGAGCGATAACTGCGTACATCGAATTCGCGTAATTTGTGGTAGTAGAACTTATGTCTATTTTAATTTTGTGCCAGAAACTTAAAAAATGTGCATACTTATAGGTAAAATGTTAGGTAATTATAGGATGGTAATATTTTCTTCATTGTTTTTTAATATAAGAAAAGTATAGTATTTTTGAAATGGGGCCTCTGTAACTAGTTCTTAGACTTCATAGAATTGTAATCGCAGTTTGTGATAAAAATAAAAACATTTCCGACTTAGTTACTATGGTGAGATTAAGAACAGGAACAGGTCAATGCTTTATGGCCCCGTTCCGACACACGGAAGTGGGTGTAAGGTGACGACGCACCGATAACGATAACTACGTACTTAGCGACTGAAAACGCAAAAACTATGTCGATAATAATTTAGTAGACTTGATAAGGATGGTGTATTAAAAATATGAGTCTGCCCTGTCTTCATACAGAAACAGATAAGGGACTGTCCTCCTTTGGAGGAAACTATTTTTTTATAACAGCGCATCGGCGCGAATACAAAACCGCAATAAATTCATAATATTTATTTTATTCAATCAACCTTTTCATTAAATCAGCTTCATTGTTACTAAATGGTTTTAAATGTAATAAGAGATATTGTAAAAACACTTAACTTGCAGGTTTATAAACATAGCGACATGGATTGTTAACGGATCTTTCCGAGTTTGTTCTTTCCTTATTATTATTTGCAGTGACATTCAAATTTTGAAGAAATGCATTTATCAAGTACAGCATCAAATATGATGTACATATTTAAAAAAAGATATGATATAGTTTTCCTTGGAAAACAACTTTTTTCAGATAGGAATCAATATTTTTATCAATGATAACTTAGTATCATGACATGACATGACACACCCGTTAGCCGGAAATGTCTCCAGGTTGATCGGCCAACTGCGTAAGAGATTATGATAATATAGTGCACATGCACATTTAACAGAATACATTTACACACTAAATGCGTACATTGTTAACTGGCCTTCATATAAAATTTACTTAATGTACGCTACTCACCAGTCGCATTCGAACTGTGCAGTTAAATCGTATGGTGTGTAGGCTGTATGGACCTACGATTGAATTGTACAGTTCGACTGTAAATTTGAAGCTGCTAGGCTGTGTAACTGTCAATTCGACCTTTTGACGTGAGCTCGATCAAATTCTCGCCCGTCATTGGTCGAGATTATTCTCACAACCGTATGTATGAGCGATTGGTGGACCGCGATCGAGGCCACTTAATTTTTTTTTTATTGTGAAATAATGTGCACCTCTGCCTACCCCTTCGAGGATAAAAGCCGTGATGTCATGTTATAATAGGATACCCCAACTGCGAAGTATTAATAAGTATATCTAAATAGTTTCTGACCTACACACCTGTCTATTTTATTTTGTTTACACACAGTAGTGCAGTGCGTAGTTGAATCTACGCTTATAAAACAGTAAACAATAATATTGTGGGTTTCATAACAGTGTTACAGATAATCTGCTAAAGCAATAGAGCATCAATTAATAGTTACATGCAACTAACGAGATCAGAGATACTATTTACCTTTACTGCTGTTCGAACTAAGCTAATCAATACATAGTATAAAACAAAGTCGCTTTCGCTGTATGTCCGTATGTATGCTTAGATCTTTAAAACTACGCAACGGATTTTGATGCGGTTTTTTTTAATGGATAGAGTGATTCTTAAGGAAGGTTTGTATGTATAATACATGCATATTGCACCCGTGCGCAGCCGGGGCGGGTCGCTAGTTGTCTTATAAGTAATAATTTAATTTCAATATGTATACAGAAATAATAATAATTCACTGTAAGATTCTTGAAATTTTAATGATTAGTGATGATATGAGCTAGTAGATTTACTAGTATTGCAGACTGCATATCATTATAATGGCCGACCTAGCAACAGTGAAAGCCCCGTTTAAATGAAACTAGTTTTCGAATGAGATCATAAAAAGCGGAAAGTTTCAAGTCGGTATAGAATTATATCTTAGCATTCCTATTAATAAATATTCAAGTGTATTAGATACTATAATCAACGTTTTAGCTCTATGTATATCGCCGATTGCAATCAACTCATGGATAACTTTACAATCGGCAATTTTTGTGGACTGTCCGAACGTTGACTTTGCGCATTGTTGTCCTAAGACATTATTTTTTTGTATATGTTACGGTACTCTGAGAAACATAAGCTAAAGTGTAAAAGTCATATTTGAAGAAAGACTTGTAAAATAAATCTAATAAATAAAAGTAAGGCCTTAAAAATGTGTATGTATGGAAGTGAACTAATTAAACGTAATGGCACTGCATGACCAGAAAGCGTGGTTTCGATTCAGAACCACGCTAGCTAAATCAGAACTTCTGACTCAGCTGGGCCAAAGCACGACCACCTTAATGTTGACAAATTATTGTATTTACCTAAAATAGTCTTAAATGATATTTCTAAATTGTTTACAGGTAATATGCATTCACGACTTGAGTTCCGTGTACCACGTACCCCTCCTAATGGAAGCCCAAGGAGTAGTGCAATATTTAAACGAAAGGCTCCAACTGAATATTTCCATGCCACGACCAGGAAAGTAAGTATAAAAAATGTATTTTAAAATTCTATGACTAATTTTATAACGCTGTATTGAAATCAATTTACGCATCGTTCACTTAATACTTGTTTAACGACTAACGAATTTTTACGTACCATGAATTATTATGAAATATATACGAAAATTCGAGTTTCTTAATTTATGAATGAAAATTGATTCTACGTATAATATTAAATAAATGAAAATGTGTGTAAAGTGATGTGTGTCTACATAATTATGACAATTAGTTAATTAGTCTGAGTATTTCAATTATACTAATAGCAGTCTGGTACGTACCTATTTCTTATGACAAGATATTGACCTCTTTCGTCATTCACAATTTAGCTAATTATTTTGGTATATGAACTCTTTAGTATGGGTACATTAGGTCTGATCAATAAAAGAATGAATACGATGGTGACATAGGAAAACCGGATTTTATTAATTTAAATAAGGGGTCAATTAACATAACTATCGCCGTTTTGTTTTTTGCGAACAAACTCGTTATATTCATAGATAAAACTGGTCTAAAGTACATACTTGATATTCATTCTCAATTCGTTTTTTAGCCAAAATTGTGTTGCTATATTGCGGTTTGTTCACTATTGCTATAATATTGAAGTCAAAAGATCAAATTGACGAAACTCAAAACCATTCAACTAACTATAATTGTTATTTCACAATTATTTCAGGTTTATGCGGAAATGGCACAATCTAGCTAAGCGGGTCGACAATCTTCGCAAAGAAGTGAACATAGCTCTAGTAGGTAAATACACAAAGTTGGAAGACAGTTATGCAAGTGTCACAAAAGCCCTGCAGCATGCCTGCATAGCATCGGGAAGTAAACTGAACCTGACATACATTGAGGCTGTGAACCTAGAACGACAGACTAAGATAGACGATCCTGTTAGTTACCACAAAGCATGGCAGAATTTATGCAAGAGCGAGTAAGTATTAGCTAAATCTTATCTTATATTATTATATAAAGCCACTTTTAGTCAGTTATTAATTATAAAAATAACAGCATTATTAAGACCAGTTTTTGCATTTAGTCGGTCAGCAATAATAAGAAAAAATAAGAGTGATCGTAAATAATTTCCTTAACTAATTTCAGTGGTGTCATAGTTCCTGGTGGATTTGGCCAGAGAGGAATGGAAGGCAAAATCGAAGCTTGTCAATGGTGCCGTGAAACACAAAAACCGATGCTTGGCATCTGTCTTGGTCTACAAGCCTCTGTGATAGAATTTGCTAGAAATGTATTAGGACTTAAAGGTGCTAATACGACTGAGGTAGATCCCAAATGTGAGGACAAATTAGTAATAGACATGCCTGAACACCATCCTGGAAATCTAGGTGGAACTATGAGGCTAGGAAAAAGGAAGACTTATTTGGAACCCAGTGTTATAAGTAAGCATCTCACAATTATTTTTTTATATGTATATTTGTACATACTGTTTTGCTTTTCAATTATCATTACCAAATTGCATGTCGGCCGCAAGACTTCCGCTGCTGGACCTACTAGTCTAATTGTACTATTAAATTTTACAGCCCAACTATACAAGAGAGATGTAATAGAAGAACGTCACAGGCATCGGTATGAAGTAAACCCAGAATACATAGAACGTTTAGAAGCAGCTGGTCTCCGTTTTGTAGGCAAAGATGAGACAAAAACTCGAATGGAGGTTGCGGTAGTAGATAATCACCCTTACTATGTCACAGTGCAGTTTCATCCGGAGTATTTATCGCGGCCATTGTCACCTAGCCCACCGTTCTTAGGGTAAGTTGGTCTCAAATATAATTAGTAGTTATTTAAATATTTGTGTAAAAGTATTGAAGGAATAACATAACATAAAATCACGCCTTTTTATCCCCGAAGGGGTAGGCAGAGGTGCACATTACGGCACTTAATGCCACTGTACAGTATTGAAGGAATATTTCATGTTTATATTTTATTGCAGACTAATTTTGGCATCCCTTGGAAAACTAAAGAACTACTTATCAAAGGGCTGTCGGTTGAGCCCACGAAACCAGTCTGATGTGAGCTCAGGTGAGTTTGGAAATTTTTGATAAATCCAGATAATCTTAACTTGTGAGCTGTGGTTCATTTATGTAACAAACTAGTAGACATTGGTGATGTTGATATTAAAAAGTGCCTCCACTAGCAGTAATAAAAATTGCTTATACTGATGCTTTTCTTAATTCTAATTGAATTTTTTTACAGATGAAGACGATATATCCGTATCTTCTTTAAGTATAGCTGATGAAAAAACCGTAATTGAAAATGGTATCGCCGTCAATGGAGTGAGCAAATAAAAATACTGTTTAATTATCTATTCTATTATAATTCTATTATATTATGATTAAGTCATACTGTAAACATATAATCAAATTGTATGCTTGTTGCCATTGCAAATTGAAATGACAAGAATGAATATTTTCGTAAAAGGAAGGTATTATAGATGTAAACCAGTGAAGTATCATCGTTTTTTACTTAATTTTTTTCTTTTACAAAATCTAGCATCTACATTATTATACCTTTCCACTAGTCTATAAATGGTTGAAGCATAATACAAATTATATATTCTAAATATATAATTTTAATATTTAAGATGAAAATGACGGTATATTCAATGAATAGTTTAAAAAAGAACTTAAAATTGACTTCCAAACATACAAGTTATTACAGAATTTTGATTAATCTTAAACCATTTTTATAGTACACAGCATTATTTAAAATTTTCTGTAATTTAACCGTAAGTGTTGGTTTGGTAACATAAGGATTAATTGTTTCAAATAATAGCTAAGCATAATTTTTGTAGATTTTTTATGTTTTATTTGAAAAGAATTAACTTGTATGTTGATGTATTATCTCGAATAATTTGAAGATATTATTTTACAATGCAATGAATACCATTAGTGTTGTTACCTATCTAACATTAGGGTAGTTATTGGGCCATATTTTTATTTTCTTGTATTATATTCTCTACACAAGTGTTACTAAAAACTTTTATTTGTATTTTATGTATTATCTTTATACTATTAATGTCCGTCTGAGCAACCTACTAGTACTAATAATGTAGACTAAAGCTGTTAATTGTACCGATGCCATATTATGTATGTTCCAGAGCTATAATATCCTAATCAACTATGCTTCCTTCATAATAGTTTGCTAGAACAAAGGACCTGCAGCCAAGTCCATAAATTCTTCTTTCATAGAGGCTGATCACAAAAATGTATTTGATTATAGAATAAGTGGACATTAAAAAATATTGTATCGGTAGGTGTCTATGGTACGATCATTATTCTTCTATAAAAATTATATACATATATATATTAAAATTGTAGTAATTTTAAATGCGTACCATAATTTGATAGGTATGATTAAAGGAGAATGCCCACGGCACTATGGACAAATGTACTGAATTCAACATTGTTGTGTCTCCATGAAATAATCTTTAAAATATTCGATGGCATGTCCAAATACTACCTCAAAAAATTTTACACAAAATACATTGGCATTTTCGAGATATTCACAAAATAAAATCACTATTTTGAGGTTATGTCCGATCAATAATTAACTAAAAAAAGCTATTTAAAAGGGTCTGAATGGGTTTTTATGGCTTGGTATCTTTGAAGCATACTTATTAGTGTTAAATCTGTAACGTGTTAGCTATGTCAGGTGGCCAGTTACTGGTGGACACATGTATTGTGTCTACCTCACCGAGTCTGATATAGATTTTGCGCATTTTTAAATCTAACGCCCGCGTTTCATGAAATTGCAAAGCATGGAAGGAACCGTTACTAAAATAGTCAATAGCTCAGTGTTATATCTAGGCCCTACTCAAATCATAGATGTGGTAGGTATCATGACATGGCCTTTATAAATACCTACAGAGGGAAGGAAAACAAACAAAAACAAATACAATAAATAAAATAATGATTATTTCTTATTATTATTTTATTAGCCGAGTGGTCGCAAGTGCGAATGCCGGGCAAAGGGTCTCGGGTTCGATTCCCGGGTCGGGCAAAGTATTACTACTAGGTTCTGAAAAAATTCTAAGTTACTACTTAGAATTTTTAGCACGGAGTCTGGAACTGTGCCCGGTATATGGCAATAGGCTCATCCCCTATTACATGGGACTCATAACATAAATAGTGAAAAGTGGGTGTTACATTGTACAGTGGCATAATGTGCACCTCTGCCTACCCCTTCGGGGATAAAAGGCGTAATGTTATGTTATGTTATTACTATTTCTTTTCTTATGAGTAGTTGAGACATTGCATCACAGTCGCACTCGGCATGATCGTTACTCAAAAAGTCCAGTTATTAGTGATAAACAACACACACGGTGCTGCGGCGATAAAAGTATGTTTATTTTCAATGGATTGACAGGAATTACGGAGGAACTAAAAGGCTCGACTCGACGCAGAACATACCAAAATCAGCAGAAATAACAGTATTGTATTGCAAAAATATGACAGACGCGTAATAAACGTCAATTAAGGTTCTACCCATAATGATGAAAGATCGATTTTTTTTCTATTTCCGTAAACCAGCCAGTGGTATTTCACAAATA